GTTTAATTTCTGCTATATTAGTCATTAATACGTGACGCGCGACTCATCCCAGCATTGGAGAAATGCGCGTCATGTATTTTTTGTTTTGATTTGAAAACGTCAGCTATCAATATCAAGTTCTCCATTTTTTTTTAATTTGTCAGAGCACAGTTATAATATACATCATTCAGTAAGATTCATTTTTTTTAAATTCCAAATATTATCTAAATATCCTTTTAAATCTAAATAAGATAATTCATAAAAACTAGGCAAATACATTTGCCTAAACTAATTAAATAAATTTAATAAATATCTATAATTATACTGTTTCATTTGGAGCAGGTAAACTCATTTTAATAATTCATTAGTTTTAAGTAAATTGGTGTGACAAATCTGAGTAAATGATTTAATAAAATGGCTATATTTTGGTTTGATTAAACTAGTTTCATATATTCAAGTAACCTATTTAGAAATCGGAGTTTACTTAAACATATGATGCTTGTTCATTGTCACATAGTTAGTTAAATTTTCTGGTTGATTAAATAAATTTTTATTTGGTTTAATTAATTTTTTTCTCAGTGTGGAGATTTGTCCAGACACACTGCTAGCGTGCGGCTATCCAATATACGAGGGGCTTGCATTGGTTCATCTTCCTGGGATAATCTTATCGTGGTTGCTTCTAGTGTATGGTACAGATTAGAGTTCTTTCGTCCTACTGGGTGAGTTCTGAAGCTTTGTTAGAGATATGCTTCCAGCTTCCAACCTTCTCCCCTAACTGCCACAGTTCAGTAGTTCAAATACTGAAACTACCGCATTTCTTTGGTGCAAGCAACCAACTTAACTAACCATATGGTCATAGCTCAACTCCTGCAGATGTTGTTGTTCAATTCACTAATTTTGAATCAATTCTGGTTCAGGCCCCACAAAATCCGAGCTGCCATTTTACGAAATCGGATTTTCCATCCCCTCAAGTCCCGTGCGGCACTTTTCCGGTCTACGAACTTCCGGTGTCGTCGCAGCAGATCAGTCGGATCCTCCAACTTGTTGCCTCCTGAGAGGCAACTTCCACCTTTTGCTCGAGGTGATCCCACAGCTCCGTAATGGGTTATCTCCACGTTGAAAGAGGTACAACTGCCTACTTCAACTCCCGTGGCTAAGGAATGGTTCCCTCTTTAGACATCGCTGCTCTCGGGCAGGTACAATAGCTGAGCTCCTTTTCCCCCAGTTTCATTACCCTTCAGGTCGTATACCTTTACATAAGGGTTCCAATGCCAGTTGTAGGTATTAAAAGCCAATCTGCCTGGTAGATCGTCCGATGGCCGCATTATGTGGGTTCGTAATCTCCAACTACATCAGGCCGGCCAACAACTGACCTTGTGGTCGGAAGTTCACTACAATCCTAAGGCGTACAAAATCATCACAGAAGATGCCCCCAACAGACCCCCAAAACAACCACAGGGGAGCCAAACATGAATTATATCCTGGCACAAGGCTGCACACCAAGAAAGCCCTTTCTATCGGATACAACAGATAGTTAGCAGAAAGTGTGCCGCATTCGGAGGCAGAAGAATTAGCCAACATCGAAGCAAATGTGTCTCCGGAGCAGAAGTACTTCTTGCAAGATATAGTAGCGGCAACATGGCTCGCCAAATATCAACTCCGTCACCGTGGAGACAAGCCCATCTACAAGGAGTACCTCGTCCTAGCCAAAGCAGTCGGCAAGATCTGGACTCGCTGCCACAGTGGAGGACATCAGAGTTTAACAAGCCAACGATGGGGATCTGGCACCAAAAGGGGAGACCGAGGCCCAACACCCAATAGATGTCAATCACGATAAAGGTTTATCTACTTCCACCATCATTCACTACAGCTTAGGCATCAGTTTATCAAAAGCATCTGTCTTAACAGAATCACCATCTACCACAAACATTGAGACAGCCTTGATTTAATACGGCCTATCGATTTCAGCTACAGCGGATCATAAAAAACTAACAAAATTCTAAAACTGGATTAAGGGCCATGTCGTCAGTTGTTCATTACAATTGTAGGATGCCTTTATGGCCTTCTTGATTTTCATAGCTTTCAACTACTCCGTGTCAGCGCTCTATTTTGAAGTTATGTTACAAATATGTTTTTGCATCAAATTGTTCATGCTTTTGATTTATATAATCTGTTATATAGCCTGAAATTTCCTACAATTCAAGAAGAAAACATAGCCTGGCAATAGGAGAGCGCTGACGCTGACACTGAGCAGTAGAAATTTAGAAATATCCCAGTCTTTCTGAAGCGGAGAAAATACTATGAAAATCAAGGAGGCCATAAAGGCGTCCTACAATAGTTGTAGGAACGACTGACGATAAAGTCATCTAAAACTGTGATGTCTGTCGGGTCTTACTAACGCCCCTTGGTACGTGTCAAATGAGACTATTCACAGACATCTTGATATCCCATATCTAAGGGATTACGTAAAACAACAGGCGCAGCGGTGTTATAAGCAAGCGGAATCGCACAGCAACCCTCTGTTGCGTGATTCAGTAGACTGCACGGTCGAGCAAGTTCACAAACATTCCAGGCCGCGCCTCGCACGGTGATCAAAATTAAATTGTAAATTCAGACCAGCCAAAATTATTTCAAAACCGATCAAAATTATTTTTTGGAGTTACAAAATAATTCGAGTAGTCAAAGCAATAATGCTTCTTTTCTTTGCTCTATTTCTTCCTTCCTCTCTTTCCTTCTTCCTCTTTTCTCCTTAAACATGTTTGGTATCTGGGTAGCCAGACCTGACAGACTAACAGACCGACGAGACTTTTAACTAAGAGCAAAGGTCCACCGGACCGCTCTGACGAATAATGACGAATAGTAGTCTTTCGGGTCACGAATCGATTAACATGATTACGAATCAATTAACATTATTACTCTTTCAAAAACAGTCTAACCGGTATACTCGTACTCTATTCATAGCCTTAAAATAACAGAACTCTGTTGAAACTAGCGTACCTTTCTGAAAAAAACAATTTTATCAATACCAAACAAGAGTATTTTTTCCAACTTAAGAATTAAGCTTTCCAAAAATGTCATCTCTAACCCATTGTTCTACAGGGTGAAATTTTTAACAATATGCAGTGCCTTAGGCATATAACATATGTCTCACCATCACAATTTTACTATGTAAACTGCTTTTCGTCTATTCTCGATAACGTATATCGTAGTTCATACAAAATGTATTATTCAATAATATACCGTGTATGAGAAAGATCGCCTTTTTTATTGATATGTTTATTCATTATGCTGCATAAAAAGTTGTAAATCGAAGAACCAAGACATCGATGATCTTAATTTGCCAACAACACTCCGGAAGGGCTAACGCAGAACACACACGCCTTGCCGGCTGTCATTAGTCATAAATTACAATATATCAGAATAGATTAGTATTTTGCACGGCCCCGTGCAACGCATGACGTTGATTGGTTATCTATTTGACCATTTTTCAATCAGCAGCGCTGTCGATCGCGCTCCACCACGCCACAGCCCACCGTGATGTGTGGCCCGAATACATCATCGCCTACTGGATCATTGTCGAGGCACGACGATTGTCGTATGACACGAACAAATCGGTGTCACATAGCTGTGTCTACTCTGTGTCTCATTCCAGACTCCTTTTTTGAGATCGAAAGGAGGAGTTAAAAATTGCTAATTCTATGTTTTTCTTATCTCAGGTTCCGAAATAAGCTAAAACTAAACCAAGATGCATTGTAGAATATACCGCAGGAACCTTGTAGGGGAATGATTTCCAACTACCTACTTTTTTTTTCATTTAGTATGTTGTAGATCTCATTACGTACGAGAAAAGTGTCCATAGGTCAAAAGCTTTTTCCACGAGTAGTTTCCGAGCTACATGACCTCTAAGTTGAGTAATCCGCAGGAGTATTATGTAAAAAACCTAAAAATGTCATCTTTCAGACTAGGTAGTTTTTAATGTGCAAATAGTTGATTCCACGTTTACTGCACAGTTCCTCCCATGTGCGTAATTGAAAATTAGACAGCGAGATGGTGGCTGTGCCATCCACGGCCGATATTCATTCACAATAATTGAAGTTGGTCTATGTCCAGGAGCGTTTGGAACGCAAATTCAAATTTCAAATTCAAAGCTGAACGTACAGGCAACTAGACATACGCAACCCTTTTATTTCCAGGCCATCGTTTACAAATTGATAAGGGTTGTCAAGTATGGTGATTTTTCATCAAATCTAAGTAGTGATTTTTTACCCGTTTATACCCAATAAATCTTTGCAGGAACTAAAACTGGGAAAACGTAAAACGTAAAAATTAGACAATCTAGTAGATATCTAGTTTGGAAAAGAGTCAGGATTCTTTGACACTATATTCACTTTACCTATTAAGCGGCGAATGTGAAGCAACAAAACAGAAGCAAAGAATTTTGGAAGCCCCAAAAATTAACCCCTGCCACATATTTTTGCAGCTGCAGATATTAGAGGAATAATTTTGAGAATAATACGAACCTTAAGGTTATCATGCACCAAAAATATTTATATCTGTTTGCCTCCATTTTTGATTCCCAATCATTTTTATTTGTATACCTATAACACTAGTTGTCGGTTATACGAATATTATCAAAATTTTGAATTATAAAAATTCTTCCCCGACCATGTAGAAAAAACCTAACCAAAGCATAATCTTCCACCAACTGTTATCTGTTATATCAAGGTGTAAGGTAACACACCCTCCTACCCTGTGCGGTCCCTCCACCGCCACTGTTCCAGGCAACCTCAAACCCTTGAGGAGTGGGGGGAAAGGTGTAAAATGATTTAGAATTGCTTAAGTACCTGCAGTACCTGTATTAAATAGAGCTCGTGCCATCTACTACGAAATAACTCAAGCACGGTCAAGCGCCATCTGCTGCTCCATATTACAAATTACAATATCAATTTTCTTTTAGGTATCTGTAGTGTATACGACCGCTATCTATTGTATATAGTATACCTTAAATTTATTGCGCCATCTGTCGTAGAGTAGATTATCAAAATATAAAATGTAGGCTTATTCCTTAGTTTTTCTCAAAAGATTCTTTGGTAACCTTAAAACTCAAATCAGCTATCACTTGACGTTTAACTGAAAAATATTCCCGCCATGGCCAATCGAAGTCTAACTCGCTGTTGTTTTTAACTATTTCCAATAGTTTTCATCAACTTTTTCATCCGAAAAGTGCATTTATTCGTGGTACAAGTCGAAAATTATGTCTTCTTTTCTGCGTTGTCTTATGGCAGTCAACATAAAGTATTAAAAAACTAGCAAAAGCCCATAGCAACATGGCTCACCTTTCAAGAGTGATAGTTTTAATTGACATGGACTGTTTTTATTGCCAAGTGGAGGAAAAGTTGGATCCCACCATGGCAGGAAAGCCTATAGCAGTTGTTCAGTACAATCCATGGAGAGGTGGAGGGTAATACAGAATTGCTACAATTATTTCCCAGTTTTATATTTTATTTCCATAGCATTATTGCTGTGAATTACCCAGCTAGGGATAAAGGCGTGACAAGGCATATGAGAGGAGATGAAGCAAAAAGGAAGTGTCCAAACATAGTATTAGCACGAGTTCCGCAAGTGCGAGGAAAAGCTGATATATCAAAGTGAGTCTCCAGTAGTTATTTATACAGTTTTTTTACTGTTGGTAGAGGTAATCATAAAAAGACAACAAATCATAGCTGAGCTGACTATGTCTTTGACATCGATGATGTGATAAACAGACACATATCTCCAAATGTTGAATGCATAACCCTTCAGGTTTGTGTTAAATGCTGGATTCATGCAAACCTCAACATAGAACTCAAGCTAGATCTTTAAGGTGTGACATACACACTCGTCTTATTGGTGCTGTGTTGGACAACATATGGTCCAGGATACAAATTTACAGACAGTCTTATTCTATACCCTATTTCACGAGTATCCATCACAGTGGAATGACAGCAGATTATCTAATATCTCAAAATTTCCCATATCAGCACAAGACACATAATTCTGACAAGTCTGTCAACACCAGGTAGACAGAGGCGAGTTTTGTTTTGATTTTTTGTACGCTACAGATTCATTTTGTACTTGCTAACAGCTCTTTTATTTAGAAAAGTTCATTTGCAGACAAAAAACAAAATGCTATAAACAGGTTTTACTATATTCATTATTGCCAATGTTGCAGACTAACACAAAAATGTCACTTGCTGATCAGCTGTTCACCTCAGTAGACATCAAAGCGTGATGGATACTTGTGAAATAATGTATAGTTGTACACCATCACTATTAAATAATATCACCAGTAGGAAAGGCCAAAGCTTGGTTAAGAAACAACATGATTTGTACTGCTTATGATTTGATTAAAATGTAATGAATGGGATTTCAGGTACAGGGAAGCTGGTAACAAAGTAGCAGAAGTATTGCAAACATTTACAAACCTTCTTGAAAGAGCTTCTGTAGATGAAGCTTACCTGGACATTACAGAGGCAGTAGAAAAAAGATTAAATAACGAATCACATAATATTGATGTGGATAAATTGATAAACACTTTTGTGGTAGGATATGCTGATACAAAGGAATTTATTAGGCTGGCTAACAACAATGAGTTGTTTGAAAATAATGTCAAATTAGCAGTAGGTGGTTTGATTACTGAAGAAATAAGAGCTGCTGTTCTTGAGAAAACAGGTATCACTATGTGTCTCAAATATGATGCATCAAGAAAAGGCATGATTATAAAAACATTGGCTGCAGAAATATTCTTATCTCAGAATCATTAGTTCCAAACTATACTTTGTCTTTTTTAAGGAGGTTTTCAAAATAAACAGTTTCTGTTTAATTTGTCATCCATGTTTGGTTATAACATAAATGGGCTCTTATTCGAGTTACTATACCCTATTTCACAAGTATCCATCACACTTTGACGTCTACTGAGGTGAACAGCTGATCAGCAAGTGACATTTTTGTGTTAGTCTGCAACATTGGCAATAATGGATTGCGTATAAATCTAGTAAAACTTTTTTGTGGCGTTTTGTTTTATGTATGCAAATGAACTTTTCTAAATAAAACAGCTGTTATCAAGTACAAAATGAATCTGTAGCATACAGAAAACCGAAACAAAATTCGGCTCTTTCTTCTTGGAGCTGACGAATCCGTCAGAATTATGTGTCCTGTGCCGATATGGGGATTTTTGAGATATTACTAGATAATCAGCTGTCATTCTGCCGTGATGGATACTTGTGAAATAGGGTATACCTATTAATGGTTTTTTAGGTTACAAATGTTCTGCGGGTGTAGCTCACAATAAAATTTTAGCAAAGCTAGTCTGTGGCTTACACAAGCCAAATAAACAAACCATTCTGCCTCACGATTCAGTTTCGATTTTATATGAAAGCTTGCCTGTCACTAAAATCAAAAGTTTGGGAGGGAAGTTTGGAAAAACACTTTCTGAGGAATTAAACATTACTTTTATGAGCCAATTAGCACACTTCAGTGAAAAGCAGTTAGCACAAAAGTTTGATGACAAAACTGGGTATGTAATTTTAGGTAGTTACTATTTTAATAATACATATCTTTACTACAGAAAACTAAATCGGAACTAAAAACCTGCTGATGTGCATTACTATGCATTTAAAATAAATTGTCTAATGTTATATTCCAATGAAGGTATGGACTAGGAATATTCTTCGAATTTTGATGATCATTCGAATTTCTCTTATAGTAGTTAATTAATATGTCAGATTCATGGGTATCAAAGTCATATAAATTTTCTTTAAAATCGTATTTAATATGATTACACTATTGTGTAAGCAAAAGATGTTGATTCCATACTCAAGTGATATAGCATTTCTTGTATGCTACTGTAAAATATAAATGATGTTATTGCAGGCGCTGGTTGTATAATATAGCAAGGGGCATTGATAATGAACCAGTAACCTTAAGATTAATATCAAAATCAATTGGTTGTTGCAAACAATTTCCTGGTCGAACGGCACTAACAGCGACTAGAGACGTCAAACATTGGACCAGCGAACTTGCTAGTGAGCTGTCAGAAAGACTGGCTAAAGATCAAGAAGAAAACAACAGAAAAGGAAAGCAGATAGTTATTAGTTTCGCACAGAATGATATACATAGCTCTAGGACCATACCATTGAATTCTTATGAACAGAGCAAGATTGCAGAGTGTGCTCTAGCAGTTATTGATAAGTTCTGCCAAAGATCTGATGGAAGTTACAGTATCAATTTCCTGGGTATGAGTGTTGGTAAGTTTACTTAATTTCTGTTTTTGAAAATCATTCCAATAAATTTCTAACGAAAAATGAATGTCACTGATCTCAAAAAATCCCATAGAAAACATCACAAGGGGCTCAATCAGGAAAGCTGATTGGCCACTCCAAATCGCCCCTAAATGAGATAAGATGCTCTGGCAAGTGTTCCATTAAAACAACCATCGATGGTCTTGATGTGTATGCCATTGCGCTATCTTGTTGGAACCAAATGTTCCCTATGTCCATCTCATCTAGCCGCAAAAATATTCGTGTAATACGTTTACATACTGGTCCAAATTCACTGCCACTGCAACAATTGCAACAATTTTCCTCAAAGAACCAGGGACCAATAATTCCAGCTGGGGAAATTGCTCACCACACTGTCTCTTTAGGTGAATTCAAAAGCCTTTGATTGCAAATGACGAGGATTGTTGTTAACACAGCGTTTTTTTATGTGCTGACAGATTCGTACAAATAAAAATGGGCTTCATGATCAAAAAAACAATAGCGTCCTCAGGAACAACTTCGACAAAACGCTCACACGCGTTCATCCGAGAATTGAAGTCACGTTCAGAAAGTCTTGGGACAATTACCATCTTGTAAAGATGTAAATGAAGATCATCCTGAAGAATTCGGAATGTCCAATAATAGACGCATGTTTGCTCGCATAACACCGTGGTGATTGCAACAGTGAGGCACTCGCTGCCTCAACTGTTTTCAAGTGATCTAATGGGCCGAGGTATTCCAGTTCTTCATCTTGTCGCACTTGTAGTTTGACTGAATATAGTGACCCACTTAACAATAGATTTACAGTCTGGGACAGGGGCTAAATTAAGGCGATTCGACAAGGCGCGCTGGGTTGTGATCACATTACATCCGCTCGGAAAGTAGGCCTCAACGGCAAAAGCATGCTCCTTACTCTTCCAAAGCACGACGACGACTGAACTGTGTCGGCCAAAACTTGATAATCCCGCCTCTCGAACGTGACCACTGGCGCTCCGCTAAGGCATGAATATACTGAATGGCGCGCATTTTAAAAAAAAGAAGTTATGCTGCCGCACCCTTTATAATAGTAGCCACTTATGAGTAAAATCAAAAATATGTTTAAATTTCGTACCGTTGCGTTTGCGTATATCTACTTAACCATAAAAAATGAATCGATCATATGAGTCTCCATTTCCGACATTTCTTTCTAATTTATCAGAGTATAACTATTTGTGTTCCAGGCAATTTCCAAGAAATAAATCAAAAATCAAGCATCACAAAATTTTTTTTGAACATGAGTAAGAAACAGAAGATTAGTGATGAAAAAAACATACAAGATACTGAAAGTATTACTGCTATTCCGCAAAAGTGTTCAGAAGCAAAAGAAATATCTGCATTGGAAGAGGAACCAAACAATCAGACTGAAGATGATGCTTCAGACTTGTCCATATACTCAAGAACCACAGAGGAAATGGAAATGGACAGTGATGATCTAATCTATTATGAGGATATTTGCCCAAATTCAGTGTCATCCGAACCAATACATTGTTTCACTATCTCTTCTCAGTCCTCTGAAGAAATGGAGAGCTCTAGGAGGTCCTCAATGCAGTCATTTTTTGCTAAATACTTCGGTGATAAAACTAATGAAACACAAGAAGAGGATCAGCAGGGTCAGACAGTAACTGTCAGAGGCCCACAGCCAGAAGAGGTAAGCATATACATATAATAGTATATTTCAATTATTATTACATATTTTCCGGAGGTAATGAAGATTAATTAATTTTTCTGCGGAAGCAGATACAGTCTTTACAAAAGCTCTGAATTTTATTTTGTCTTTTATGTTGTGCTGTATAATTCATTTATATATTATAGTGCTTCCACATTATAATTTACCAATGATTGAAGTCATATTTTTTTTTGAACCAAAACGATAGGCAAAACTAAAAATGGGAAAATGGTATTAAAAAATGGCGTCGTCAAGTAGATTCACTCTTCTCACGCCTTCGAAACATTAGTACAATTTTCCATGTAGTTCAATGGCTTCAAAAAGACGTGGGGTTTGTTAGAAACTTTAGTGCTCTATTTGAGCTTAACATAAAAATCACTCAAATTGCATTTTTCAAAAATAACCAGCATCTTCTAAATCATCAAAAACCGATTTGATCGATTTTAATTTTTTCGTTTTCTTTTTTGCTTTTTCCTAAACCGCCACTGAACCGGATTTCAAAAACTGCAAAGCTGTTTCGTCTTTGGCATCCAAGTTATAGAGTGATGAAGAATTAGCGAACAGACGACAGACAAACAGACGGAAAAGAGTCATATGGTTTTTCATCATGTACATGTCATAGAAGATTTAAAAGACATAATATCTCATTTTCGAAATCTTTCGCGATTACAGCACTTCCTCCGCCAGTGAGGCGTGGAAGTAAAGTGGCAATTAACGAGTTTAGTTTGGAAATATTCGCCAGATGTTTTTACAGAACGCGCATCTGATTTGTATTGATCCTTGAGCTTTTCTTAAACAACTAAATTGAGACTTCAGTTTGGGCTTAGCTATCTGAAATCGTTTTTCTTAGTTCAGTTTAGGAAAAATTTTAAACTTGCATTTTGAAGAGAAAAATATCTCAAATTTGAATATGTGAAGTTTTGCTCACATTGTGGCCCACTTAATTTGTTTTTTAGAAAATAGAAGTTCCTGAAGTAGAACGTCCTATTCCAATGCTATCATTTCGTCTGCCCCAAAACCTGAATGAGGAAAATAGTGTATTATGTGATGTATGCAATAAAAAAGTAAAACTGGTAAATTTTGGACATCATATGGACTTTCATGAAGCTAAATCAGCTTCAAAACAAAACTCATCCCCAACAGCTACACTCAATAAATATGTCAAGGAGGCTCAATCAAAAGCCAAAGTAACAGCAGTAAAACGAAAAAGCACCGAGAAATTGAAACCAATATCCAGTTTTCTATTGGCCACTGATGGATTGAATGAAAGTAATAGTGAAGTATGCCTGGAATGCAGCAAGAGGATCAAGCTATGTGACATAGCCAGTCACACTGATTACCATGTGGCAAAAAAATTACATGATGAAATCAATGCCAGGCCATTGCCAAAAAGTATTATGCCATCAACTTCCAAGAAAAAATACCCTGAGACAAATGAAAATGGCATCACAAAGTTTTTAAAAAAATATCCAGAGCTGTGATATCAGTCATATTTCTCAAATGATTTCTGTTGTTTATACCCATAATTTTTTTAATAAATATATTTTAGATGTTATTCTATTTTCTTTTTACTTCCTACACGCAATCTCGAAGAAATTTGCCATCTAATTCGATTGGATGTTTACTGACTTTCTATCACAAGTCTGCAAATACATCACTGCTATGAAAATCAGCATCATCAGCAAAATTTTGTGTTTATCCATTTCTTAAGCCTTATATGCAGTGTTTCCAGAAAAATAAATTTACGAGGACCGACGTCCTATACCTGTACAAAAATACCCCACCGAGTTATTTTGAGTTATACCAAATACCCATACAACCACATCTAAATGAGATATGCTTATTTTATGCAACATAAATGTATAATGAATCAATAAGAAAGCAATGAATAACTACATGTCTTTAAGTGTACCATTTACCAAACTAAAAAACGTAAAATTACTGTAAAGCGATCACTACATTTTTCTTAAAAACAGAGGACACCCCTCTGGCTGAAAGCCAAGAGGTGCCAGAAAATTAATAATTTAAAAGATGAAAATCAATTCGTTCATCTGCTACGATGAGTACAACGCTACGAATAAACATGTAAGCAACTACGTACTGAAAAACTCCAAATAGAGCAGAAAGCTATTTTGCACATTTTTTTCGAGACACGGGAATTTTGTAGCCGACTGCAAGCTGGGTCTGGGAACTAACCGACGGCACAGCCTACTGTTACAGTACCCTATGAGACAAATTGTGGAAGACTATAATAGTGCTATTAATTGGCTACAGAGGGCGACAACGACATAAATGTAACAATGACAGTTATGATGACACCAACCCAAAATTTTGACAGCGAAGACGATCCCAAATGGTAGATTTTATCAAACACAAACAAAAAAATGGCAGCTGAGATTAAACCTTCTACACAATCTAACGAACGGTTTTGTACAACGAAAAAACCAGTTCTCCTAGCCAAATTGGATGGCTGCAGCGATGAGGTAAATGCGGCTGTCCTCATCCCTGGGGAAGAAGGTATCATCAGTGTTTCAGATGACAAGTAAGGAAACTGATTTTAAGCCACTTTGTTCCAATATTCTGATATTGTTGGGTCAATTCGACCTATATTTATTGCCTCTAGGTTACCAATAAGCCTCCAACTCGATGCAGATTATGCAAAGTTTCTTTATCCTTCAGGATTTCACTATTTCCAATAATTTGGTGGTTGGACAGGTCTTCAATACGAATCTATTGCTTCCTATCCTGAGCGCCACTAGAAAAAGATCCAGAAGAAACCGCTTTTTTTAGGAAAGGACAAAGAATATATTAAAATACATCACCACCACAAAGAATTACTTTCTTATTTCAACATTATAGTTTATAAAGTAGTGTGAGATATGCATGGATCATTCACCATTATGCTTGCTTTAAAATATAGATGAAAAATAGTATAATATTATGCTTATATTTTCTTTATTTCACAGTGTCATGTTATTCCCATCATCATTGTGGACATTTTCTCTGACTCCATCTGTATATTGTTTGTTCAAAATTTTGCATTATGTTAAAACAATTCTATTTATTTTAATACCAGCCACTATAATAGAATTTAGTGTTATAGTGTAATAATTATCTTTATGTAAATTGCATCTGAATTCTAAATTATATAAAAAATAAATCCTATGGATTGTTTTGAGAGCTCTCTATATATTACTGATAAGATGCGGCATACATACATTAAGTCTCTATGTATTGTGGAATACTTAGATACTACAACTAATAGAGATATGTTAAGTTAAAAATTACCTAACTTTAATGTTGTGATTTCTGAAAAATAGTTTTGAGTAAAATAATTCAATTTGAGATACATAGTGAAACTAAAAACATTCTTCCTGGAATTTGGATGAACTGATTCACACTAGACCGGCACGTGGAAGTGTCCGTGTTCTCAATGCCCTCAATGACGCTGTACCGTGATCGTCGCATTGTTTTGGAACGATATTTTTCGATTTTCACGGCCGTGTTTTTATGTAATTTGGTGAATATTTTGATATAATTGGTCAAAGACATGAATGATGAAAAAATAATTGAATTTTTACGCGTACATCCCGTGCTGTAGAACCAGTCAAATTCAAAATACAAGGACTTCCATTTTCTTCTTATTTCTTCTTCTTCATCTTTTGTAGGTGGTAGATGGTCTCTGACTGTCGAACGCGGAGGTACCACCTGGCGAATCTCGTAGGTGGGGCCAGAATGTGTGCATGTTGCATGCACACGTGTTCCCTCGCCAGAGTCTGTGTGGCGTCCCCCCTTTCCCCTGTGTTTTCCCCTATAGCACCACGGTACCCCATGGGTGTTTAGGCCTTAGGCCTTCATGGTAGTTGGAGTACAAAACAAAAACCCAGCATTAATGAAATAATTGCAAGTTCATCCTCTGAAAATTTTTCCATCTTGACCTCACATGAACACAACTGCACTGTCAGAGCACAGAGAAAAATACTGACACAGCTGAGTGTGGATAGACCTTAAGCAGTAGTCTAGTTCACCTATATAGTAGAGTCAGCCCTTATCCAATATTTGATCACTAGAGAACAACAATTTACTAACACACTCACATTTACTACTATACTCAAATGGTTGTACTTTTGACTGGATTTCTTGCATTTTTTCATGGTAATGATATTATTTGATGGTTGTCCATTATAATTTACTAGAGATCATAAAATAAGGATTTACCAATAATGGACTAATACTGATATATCAGACATTAGTCTATATATAGCCATAATCATCGTATGGGCTGTTGATTGCTTTCCATACACAATCGGGTGAATTTTTTCTTCTGTTGAGTGCTAGGACTGCAATAAAGTCTACTGATGATACACACAACATATATGCTGGTTGATAGGTAGGCTTGTATAAGTTTTTTTGTATGGAAGACATAGTACACATGGACTTGAAGAGTGATCTTAAACAAAATGTGTGATAGCATGCTGATTTTGACTGATTTCACTGTGATTACAGAAAATAACGATAAAAAGTATGCAGCAACAAGTATAAACCAGTGTAAGAAGCAACAAATTACAGTTTCTAAATATAAAAATAGATTTGCAATATTCTGATGAAATCAAAAAACACGTACTATGAGTGCACTTTCACAAGCACAATTTGTACAAATGACACCCTATGCAAAAAACAGATTTCTTTGTGATACATCGAGAAGTTTCATTTTATTAAACAAATGTGGCAAAAAGCTGTTACTTTAGTATAATTATAATATACATCTATGTATATTAAACATCATTCACATTGTAATTTATATTGGTATCAGTTGATCCTACTACTTAATATATTTTACTCCATCGACCTGTTATCACAGCTAAATATCTTTGTATTGAGACTTAATGCTGAAAATCATTAGACATTTCTATGTCAAATATATTAATGAAAGAACCTATTAATCAAATGTGTACAAGCGCGAACAAACTGTCTTATGTCTGTGACATTTTCTGCTGCAGTTTTCCAGAAATAAGAACCCAGTGTCATGTCAATTTGTAGTTTTGCTAAAGTTAGTTTTAGGTAAATTTAGTACATGGATTGTTTTTTTTTACTCATTGCTCTGTAAATGATGTATACTGTTGGGCAATATATGTTTTATCATTATTATTATATATCAGACTTTACTCTTTATAGCTTAGATAACTCAGTTGCTTTTACCTATTAGTTTTTTGTAACCAGTCCCATTAAGATCGTCATACCTACATTTAAATATTTTCAGAACTGTACGAGTATGGCTGAAAAGAGATTCAGGCCAATATTGGCCCAGCATCTGCCAATACATGCCAAGTGGCACCACATCTATCTACTATACAGTTGAAACAAGACAATTATTTATTGGCCAGGAAAATGGAACAGTTTCAGAATATTCTCTAGCTCCAGATTTTAATAGAATGATGCAAGTTAGGGAGTATTTAGCACATCAGGCAAGGGTCACAGAAATCATATTTGCTATAAACTGCGAGTGGGTGTTGAGTGTTGGTAGGGACAAGGTGTTCTCCTACAATTGCACACAGACTGGCAGGAATATAGGAACATACAATGCAGAAGCTTGGTGTACAGCATTACAGTATCCTTTTCAATTTTCTTAATCACTGATTATATACACTATGTAATTGCAGCCTACAGTCTTAAATAAGATATGTCTTAGATAACCAAATAGTGTGAGTAAGCAGACAAATTAATAGAAGTCACTCATTCAGACGTGCCTTCTTAAAAAAAAGAAATTGAAAATCAACAATCAAAAGCATTCAGAACATTCAGGTTTTGAAAGTTATTTCTTTGGAATTTCGTCTGTTAGTACAGCTAATGTAGTCTATTCTGGAATTCCAACTTTTCATGAGGTGTTCAAGTACTGTACACTGGCTTGGTCCTGACTATCTAGCCGCATGTCATTTGAGCCGAGTGGTATGTCAAGGCTCGCGACTAGATTGACGTTATCTAGCCAGTATTGCCATTGAGGTTCCCTAATGGTTGAAGTTGATATCTTGATGGAGTTAGTACTCATATATAATGATCACAATATTACAAATAAAATGATTTCCCTCAACAAAATCAATCCAGATTTGATGCACAAACCAAACATGCCTTTGTAGGAGATTACTCAGGCCAGATTACCATGCTGAAGTTAGACAACAATGGACCAACAGTAATAACAACTTTGAAAGGCCATTCAGGATCCATCAGGTCATTGGCATGGGACAGTGAAAGACAAATGCTGTTCAGTGGATCCTTTGACCATACTATTATTGTATGGGATATGGGTGGCCAACAGGGTAATGCTTACGAGCTGCAAGGGCATCATAATAAGGTAAGAGATCACTATTACATGGTTTGACTTTCAAAAATTTCTTGATGTATGATTTCTAGTTGTCTTAATTTGTTCACTCTGCAGTTTATTTGGATAACGGACTAGACTAAACCATTCCAGTATAAATGAATAAACATATCCATATCATGCTGCAACTGAGTTTTTCACTCCTCACCTGCTGGAAGAAGAGTTTTAATATCAAATCTCAGCAGCTTGACTTTGTTATATTCACGTCCGAGTAGCGCGTTGTTGTTGCAAATAGTATAAGGCGGATATACCAGATCGCCTAAATATTTGCTTTTAGATTGTATGAGAAAAAAACATATAGATACTGTTTACCTAATTTAATCATCAATAATAGTCTGTTTATGTTGCTATTTTTAGAATGTAATACATCAAGCTTTTAAAGACGCTTTTTTTAAAATGAAATTGAACAAGTGTAACATGGGTCTAGGTAGGTACTACTCCCTCGTTATTATTCTTAAAATATATTGCTTTATGAGCCATAAAACATTTTGTTAACGTTTCCAAGTTAGCGTAATTTGTTTGGAATGTTGTGCTTGCATCATAGTTGTATGTGATTAAGGTTATTTAAATTATACAGAGAATTTTCAGTAAATAACCTAGTTATGTTCGAGAAAGTTGACAGCTTTGTAGTGCAACAAAAAAAATTTGTTAAGCCTTCCATTATTTTTTTTGGACAGCGACAGCAAATAACGAGAATGTCGACCAAAAAAGAGTTTCTATAACCACTAAAAGGAACCGTGGTAATTTGACAGTGCTGACTACTGAAAGTTATAACAGGTTGCTTTTTCGATTTCGACGTGAGGCTTACCCCAAAATTTCAAAACCCTATTAAATGTTTTCGTGGAAAAGTGTCGATAATATTTGGGTCCAAACCGGACAAGAAATTAATTGGTTTAGAATAATAGAACCGCAGAAGGACAAGTGATCACAAAACCAACAGAACTACAATAAAGGCTACCTTTCCACATTGCATATGTAACAAAAATCGGGACAATTCAATTTATTTAGAACATTGTCTATTTCTTGTATATATTTCAATCTATGATCTAAAACTAATATTTATATTATTTTTTAACCAATATAATAAGGAAAATATAGCCTTACGAAATAAGCGTTCCACTATTCTCCTTGACTAATGTAGCATTCTTATTTCTATCACCGATAATGGAAGATTGTCTCGCTACTGCGCAAAATCGAAATAAGGAAGATCGTAACGAAGCAGCAAACCCAAGCACTAAAAACTATATGAATATCAATAACATTTCGCTAATTCACCTTTCTAATATCCTTATCATCGCTAGCTAAAATGAGCCGAAATTTATACTATAGTCCATTCAAACCTCATTTACGCTGCGTCAAAACAAATATGAGCTCTCGATCGCCGCCCCTCAATTATGAGGAGCCGTATGTATCACCGACGATATATATCGTCGGTGGTATGTATAGTCGTTCCTGCCATTGCGACTCCCTTATATTGAAAACGCCTTATTAGTTTTGACAGCCTTAATACATGGAACATGGAGATTATCTGCCCTATCCGGAATTGAATAGTAATTAATAATAATGATAATAAGTATTTAGGGCGATGCTTAGCTTATAGCTTTTCTGCCACTTGACACTTAACAAAAATAAATGTTTGTGAAAAATATGTAAATAGAATAAAATGTGTAAATTGTAGTACAGTACACAAAATTGTTATAAAAGGTGAGAAATGAGGTATGATGATTGTTTTTAAAGTTGTTACCCAACAATTATTTTAATGACTTATTTTTTGAAATCGATGACAATCAGAAGCTTCGTGGGCGGTGGTAAGGCATGGTAATAATATAATACCATTATAAGTAAAGCACTTATGGAAGAATGATGTCTTGTGAACAGGCATGGTTAACGTATTCACAGAACGAATATTTTGTGAATGAAGTATTAGCCTGTCTTTTAGAAATGGAGGAAATAATGTGTTTGGTACTTTGTGCACAAAAGATAAGTGAAACTTAAATAATTCAATTGTTCAAACTACACCCTATTTCAAGAATATCCATCACGGTAGAATGACTACTGATTATCTAGTAATATCACAAAATTCCCCATATCTGCACAGGACACATAATTCTGAAGGATCCGTTAACGTCAGGTAATCAGAGCCGTATTTTGTTTTGTTTTTTGGACGCTACAGATTCATTTTATCCTTGATAATAGCTTTTTCACTTAGAAAAGTTCGTTTGCTTACAAAAAATAAAACAGTACCGTTTTACTATATTTACACACGATTCATTATTGCCAACTAACACAAAAATGTCATTTGCTGATCAGCTGTTCACCTCAGTAGACGTCAAAGCGTGATTAATACTCGTGAAATAGGGTATGCGAGCTAATGTAGGCAGCAGCGGTGGCCTATCTTCGGTCTCCTGATCAGTCGCCGTGCGTTGTGCGGGTTCGAGTCCCATCCCAGGAGAAATTTTTCTCTTGGCTATGGATGTTGTGATTGTCCGTAGGTGGTAGACGGAGGTACCACCCGGCGGATCTCGTAGGCGGAGCCAGAATACGTGCATGTTGCATGCGTACGTGTTCCCTCGCCAGAGTCCGTGTGGCGTTCCCCCCTTTCGCATGTATCCCCCTATAGCCCCACGGTACCCAATGGGTACTTAGGTCTTAGGCCTTCGTGGTATTTGGAGTATAAAAAAAATGTGACCATACTTGCATAGGTTAAAAATCAACCTACAACGGGAATGTTGTATTTTTTGCAAACGTTTCACGGATATAGATTCTAAAAACCAGATGGTGTACTAAGTTACAGTAGGTAATTGACATTAACATAATTTTGCATAGATTTTTTTTTGAAATAAAATCAAGTTTTTGCCTGTTAAGATATAACTGACAGCACAGCAAATAATCTTTGACTAATATTATTTACGTGAGGTATGAACTTGAGTTTCGCGTCCAAAAATACCCCTAAATTTTTGCTAATTTCTCAATTTGAATCACACTCCCGTTCAATCTCATCATCAAGTTAGTTTTAATATGACTTATAAGTCCTTTAGGAGAAAAAATAACACTTTAGATTTAGATGGAGTTAACTGAATGTTTTTCTCGGCAGGCATATGTTTCGGTAGATTTCAAATCGTCTGCCATCGGAACTTCAGCAGTATTCATGTTACTGTGATCAAAGCTAAAATATGGTTGTACTTTACAATTGTGCTTAAATATGATATGTACAAGAGAAACAGAAGCGGTCCAAGTATTGAGTATATTTTGGTACACCCAAGGAAATAAAATATTCAGGCGAAGAGTCTGTATCAATAACGACTTTCTGAGACCTATTTGTGAGAAAGCTACTTATCAACTACACAGTGTTTGCATATAGATATCAAAAGTTAAATAAAAAGTCAAATAAAACAACACGGTAGGCAGTTTTAAATGACTTTATTATTTTTCGAAGTATTCTCCACGAAGATTAATACATGCGCTCGAACCAGTTTTCGAAGTACTTATTCCACTCGTTTGCTGGCAGATCAAAAACGGCATTTTTGAATGCGTCAACTACTTCTTCTGGTGACTGGAACCGTTGACCACGCAGTCTGTTTTTAATTTTCGGGAAAGTAAAGAAATCGTTAGGACTTAGATGTGTGGGAGCTTGCATTGTCTTGGTGGATGATGATTCTTCTTTCGGGGTTGATTTTTCGAAGCTCGTTGATGACTTTTGGCAAACAAATGGTGGTGTACCAATCCGCAGTAACAGTTCTTTGCTCATTAAGAGGAATTGCGCTTTTGACACAAATGTCACGACCATCTTTATCGAAACACTGGATGACTTTTGTTGGCTTTTTTTCACCTTGGAACACCCAAACAGCCGACTGTCGTTTATTTTCTGGTTCATAACAGTGAATCCACTATTCATCACCACTAACAATGCTGTACACACTTTTTGAGTTTCCGGAATTGACACGGTAAAAGTGTTCTTTGACACCAATTAATCCTGGCTGCTTTCTGCTCTTGAGTCAACAGGTGGGGTATCCAACGAGAAACTAATTTTCTTACTCCTAATTCTTCATGTAAAATTTTTTGAATTGAGGTCTTTGAGATCTTCAAGGACGCCTCAATCTCGCGATATGTCACATATCTATCTTCAATGATGAGTTCGCGCACAGCATCGACGTTTTCCTGGGTGACTGACGTTTTGGTGCACACACCCTGGGATCGTCACTAAGACTCACCCGTCCACGTTTGAATTCTCCATACCAACAGGAAATTGTCGACTGATGTGGCGCTTCGTTACCGAAAACAGACAGTAACTCAGCAAGGCTTTCTTGTTGCGATAATTGTCTCTGAAAGTTGTAATAAATTATGTCGCGAAAATGTTCTCGGTTGAGTTCCATTTTTCTAATGACTTGGTGACGCTTAAAAATTCGCTGTAGAGAGAACACTGCACGTATTGTTGTGAAACTTTGAATCTAAGTTTACTAAAGAGCGAGGTTAAGATTCAGTACTGGCGTTCGATCCGCGCGGCCTACTATGTTTCTATTTGCAAAACTTATAAAACATCCCTCGTAACTGAAGAGGTTGGAGGATTATTTCATGAACATATATTCATAAAATATCCCAATACCTCTTTCACCAGTTTTGCTGAGATCAAGGTTCAGAATAATAAAATATCCAACCCTAAATATGAAGCACCAAATATATTTAGGTTCAACAAATAATCATATGATGTTGACAATGGTGTAATAATTGTATTACATGAAAATATAGAAACATTTATTTCAGATTCATGTTGTATATTGCAAAACACAGGTGTCTCACTTCATTGTACTGCTTCTTGATAATTCTGAAACAATACAGAAAACACTAATGTAATTCATAATTCTTTGTAAATAAGCTAGTCACTCTTAATTAGTTCGCTCAGCTCCATGCCTTTAATTTGTCAGCCTTTCATACTTTATATAACGGTGAAAAATTACAAGGATTATAAAGAGGCTGAATCCAGACATGCAATTTTAAATAATCTACCACCTACATCATGCTGATATGTTAAGTTCACAGCCTACCTGTAGCACTTTATGACTTATGACAGAGTATCCTGAACTTCTACATCTCCCACAATAGTCACAATACATCTCACATATACCATCACAGCTCCTAATAATGTTGCTTTACATTTTATGTCCTTTTTTACGAAATATCTTCGAAAGCATCAGCGTTGATAATCTGGATATTAACCAATATAAACGCCATCTTTGATATTTTTACATTTATATAAAGATAGAGTATCTCGGAAAGCAGCACGTCATATGCAGTTTCCTCGATTTCGCCTGGAGAGGATCACCTTGGTGTTGTCAGTTCGCCCATAAGATGTTTCATTCCCCTGGTTCACCGTATAAAACGCCTTGGTAAAATCTGAAAAACTAATCGTGTCACTTATTGATGGTCCCAGGCTTTAACAATGTTTTCGGCTGAGCCCAATGATACTCCAGCTGTATTATAGCGTTTTCTAAAACCATATTGTTTATCCGGTAATATACTGTAGAATGTAGTTGTAGATTAACAGAAAACAACCATTCTAAGGGATACACCATCAGTTCCTCAGACATTTGATTTCAATGAATGGAACATTGAAACTGATGGGCTTAAAATTGAACTCACATCCGGAAAAACGTTTTTTTTTTTAATGTTCAATTGTATGCATCATACATTTTTCTTTTTAGGTAACCACCCTGCACTATTCCCCCTCCACCCGTCAACTGATCAGTGCCGGCGAGGACGGTGTCTTCGCCTTCTGGGACATGTCCCGGCCTCGTCACGAAACCCCCGAATGGGTTGAATCCGACCTGTGCCAGCTGTGCGGTCGGCCCTTTTTTTGGAACCTGCGCGCCATGATGGACCAGCGCCAACTGGGATTACGTCAACACCACTGCAGGCATTGCGGCAAGGCGGTGTGCGAGAAGTGCTCCACGGGGCGGCTTACAGTGCCCGCCATGGGATTCGAGTTTGCTGTTCGGGTTTGCGATCCGTGCCATCAGACGCTCAGGGAACAGGAGTAAGTACAGTTGATTGTGCAAGTTGGATAACTTATTTTGCGTACGATTTTGTCTTGATTTTAACATCAGTCCTGCACCTAATGGAATGAAGCCCCTTCTTGGTAGCTAACAAGTATTTCACTGAGCTAAGAATAAATTTAGGCATAGAGGTTAAAATTCTGTATGTCCCAACGAAAATAGTTTCACGAGCAAACTAGAATAGATATAAAAAATCTGATTTTAAGGCAACCTTGCAAACATGTATTTTTCAAAATACCCTATATTTGATTGCAAATTTGTATAGATCTTCTAAAAACAAGAAGTTTGATACCATCCATATACATATAACATATAAAATGCCCAATGTTGACGCCTCGCAGCTCCGCCATTTACAAAGATATTTAGATATATCTAACTTCACAAAAAATTTATTAGCTTCGATTTTAAGCTGATCTAAAAGAAATTCTAAAATATATTTCTATTTATACAGGGTATCTCGAAACCCAAATGTCCCTTTTCTCTTGAATTTCAAATGGAACAAACACACCTATATTTCTACATAATTCAATAGCTTTCCTTGGGAACTTTTTCTGATATAAGGTTTTGCCACAACAATATTTATCTTAACCCAAGACAGAAATTGATTATGAAATTGTAATACATTTAAAGGAGTTGTGTTGATTCCCTGATGTTTGTTCTCTGGTCTAGTATTTTTTCACAACAACGTTATTTCGGCAACTTGGGTAACACCATTCCCTGTTGTGTTTAACTCGAAAGACTGATCACTGATGTTTAATAAAACCTAACGGATCTCAGAAAAGTATTAATTGTTTAGCCACATGTATGAGTTATATGATAAAAAAACGGTTTGTGTTTTCTAGGAGGCCACCATTAGCAACCTTCCATGATGCAAAACACAGCATCGTAGCAATGCATGTGGATGAAACTGGAAAGAGGCTGGTCACGGTCGGCCAGGATCGTCTAATCAAAATATGGGACGTGTCAGCATTACTTTGAAACCAGAATGTGATTTAATATAATTATATCTATGTTTAATATCAAAACGTCTTGGTTTTTTGGGCTCTACTCGTCAAAACGCCCTGATCAATTAGTAACCATGTAGATCTATACTTCCATTTTGACGGATCTGAATCGGAACGTATTCAGCATATAAGCTCGAAAGGTCACACACAATGCACATGGAATGACGTTACTTCAGTCTTTCAACAAACCTTAAATAATTGCAATAAAATTCGCCTGAAAGAGAGAACTGCTTCCAATTCATGATTTTGCTTGAATCCCTTTCAGCCTGGTGGAATACACATATTTATCAATTACTGAGAAGACGGTTAAACTTTTTAAATGGTTAAATTCTCAATTATCCACATAAAAATTACAAAATACTGTTTTTATCATTTTTTTTTAATATGAAATTTAATTTTAGTTCCGTTTCAGAAAGAACCTATAAAGCTAGTGATGTCTGTTAATAATATTGTGTTATTTGTTAAAATTTATAAGAAACATTATGCATATTACTGTAATATATTAGGAAAAAATGTATGGACTTCTAGCCATGATTTTTATTATAAATATTATTTAGTTTATATTTTATTTGCAAATAAAAAATGTTTATATTTTCTGCTCAATTAAATGATTCGTTTGTCTTTGTCTTGTTCTATCTGCCCAAGTCACAGGGAAGACTTTTATGCATATTGAAATGACTGAAATGTTTATTGATGTTGAAGTTTGCATGAAATACGCTACAGTTAAGACCATGATTTATAAAAGGAAAGTGATGACAGTAAAAATAATAGCAAACAGATGTGGAAAACATTGTTTGTCCTATTAGAAGAAATGCATAATCTAAAATGAAGTTCGCTGGTAGGGCAGTGGCGGATTTGCCAATAGGTCCGGATCTAGGGCGGCCAATCGTGGCAAAAAATTCACTGATAATATGCAGAAGTAACTGAGTACCTAAAAATATTCTAAAGACTCGCGCACAGTATGGCGGGCCGCACTGCATCATTTAACGATAATTTTAGAAAATCACTCTACATTTCATGTATAAAATATAGATATGTATATCAACGGTGTAATGTAGTGTATATAACGTATTGTCGTACATTTAAGTCATTTTGGAAGAATATTATTAGACGCGCCAGCTTACAAACACTGGTGTTCGTTATACGGACGTACGTCGTACGCGAACGCCGCTGCCCCCGCCCAGCACTACCTCGCTGCCCACACGCGACAGTGTGTGTATAGCAGTTGCAGTGAGTGAGCTGACATTTTTCTAATTTCGTAGTAATCGTGACGCGACGTGTATGTATTAACAAAAATCGAAAGCCCTGGAATGTTTTACAGAACGTGGACAATATTCGATACCTCACGTGAAAAGTGTTTTGCGTAATTAGATATGGAAGGAAAGAAAAGGCTAAGTGGAGCTGAATATCGCAAGCGATCTGAAGAAAAAGATGATAAACATAACGATATAATTAAACAAACGCGAAAATTGGACGATTTCTTTGGAAAACCATATATCAGATATCCAACATGCGACGTTCCAAGTGGTAGCGGTGTTACGTCAGCTGATGTTTCTTTAGTGCTTTCAAGTGCAAATACATTCATGATTATGGCATGGATCAAAGGACGGAGCCAAAGATATCCCACTGGTACCAGGAGTGCGGCCTAATCCGGACCAGAAACTGTGCAACAGACGAGTTCACGCGGGATTATACAATTTGTAAGAACGGAGCCAATAAAAAAAATCCAACATGATTTTTCTGAGTGAGCGAATTTACAAAGACAAGGTGCGACAATTGTCAAAGCATTTATTTGAACGTCAGCTTCTAAATAGCGAAAGTGGCTACTTTATTCCGAAAGTTCTGTATATGTTTTTTGTGGGCCTTGTCTTCTTTTCAATGGCGGGGGACTCGGTTTGATTAAAAGGAAGGTTTTAATGATTGGAAAGAGTTCGAGTATCAGCTCATGAGAATTCGCCTACTCACAAATTATCTGTCTGCATATGAAAGAACGGAACAACACCTTATGTCGCATTGACCGCACATTAACAATGCAATTCGACGAAAAAATAAATTACTGGAAAACTATTTTGAAAAGAGTAGTTGTGTATGTAAAAGAGCTTGCATCACGTGGTTTACCTTTCAGAGGACACGACGAAAAATTTGGGTCATTTCACAATGGAAATTATTTGATGTCCTTAGAACTTATTCTGAGTTCGGTACATTACACGCTATGGAAATCCAGGCTCAGGATATACGAGATATGCAAAGAATTCATTCGACTTATAGGAAACAAAGTTTTAAAGACAATTGTGATGGAAATATTAACAGCAAAATATTTTTCACTGATCATCGACTCGACGCCGGATATACAGGGTGGCGCATCGAAAACGAAACAGACGCATTTACTGGCAGCTCAGTTTGTTTTTTGGAAAAACGCTCAGACCCGTCGATTTTGTTTTCGAGGGGGACACAAGTTTGGCAAAAAATCACGTTAACATGTGCAGCCCCCTGGGCAGGGATGACACCAACCCTAAAATCTTAAATGGAAAGGGGGGTAGAGTGGTACCTTATTTTAAAGGTCTTTCAATTCCGTTTATAATGATGTAAAATACATGAGCTTCAGTTCAGTAGTTTTGAAGATTTATTGATTTAAAGCTTAAAGTAGACTTTAATAGGTACATCAGATTAGTTTGTACTACTTTCAGAAGAAATTTGACTAAAAGAATTTACTTAATAAGTAAATGCTTTCCTTCACTACGCCCATGGTTTGTTTATCATTTTGTTGTTGAAAATAGCTATTGGAGCGTTTTTTTGTGGCAAAAAAGTTATTTCTTGAAGAAAGATAAGGAAATATCTCGTACTTATTTTAAATAGGAATTTAGTACATAGTTTGCGATTGATTTGACCAAACTATGTTGCTAAAATAACTTGTAACGATTTATTACATAAATTAACCATGGTATATTCCGCAGCAGAAAGAGTTGAAATTATCGAAATATTTTACGGAAATAATCAGTTCGCTAATAGAACAGCAGAAATATTTAATGAGCGATATGAGAACAGTAACGTGCATCGAAAATATGTTCCAGATCTTGTAGCTAAATTTCGGGAAACTGGGTCAGTGGCCAATAAAAACCGCGACATTGAAAATCCCATGAGGAACGAAGCAATAGAAGTGGGGGTTTTAGGGCAAGTTTATGTAGATCCTACGTTAAGTACCCGCAAATTGGAGACTGTGTGTGGTGTTAGTCGTTGTACTGTCCAACGAATTCTAAAGGCCCATAGTTTGCATCCGTATAAAATTCACCTGGAACAAGAACTTAATGAAGACGATTTTGATCGGCGATTACAATTTTGTGAAGATATGAGTGAACGAATTATAAACGATGAACATTTTCTGTTCAATACTTGGTTTTCTGACGAATGTTCCTTTTTCTTAAATGGCGTAGTAAATCGTCATAACTGCCGATATTGATCCGATTCTAATCCCAGAATTTATCATGAGATTCATACACAGCAGCCACAAAAATTAAATGTTTGAGCTGGTATTTTTGACGATCATTTAGTTGGTCATTTTTTCTTACCTGGAAATTTGGCCGGTGAAATGCATTTGGAATTGCTGGATCCTGCATTAACAGCCATAATTGAAAATCAAAATGATCGGCGGTGCATTGCTAATAGGTTGATGTTCCAACAGGATGGTGCCCCATCACATTACGCATTACGTGTTCAACAATATTTAGATCAGACGTTTCCAGATCGATGGATTGGTAGAAGAGGTGCCATTGAATGGCCCCCAAGATCGCCAGGTTTATCACCTTTGTATTCCTTTATGAGGGGTCATTTAAAAGGCAAAATCTATGCTACTCAGCCAACATCATTAGAAGACCTGCGACAAAGAATTGTGAATGAGTGCCTTCAAATTACTCCTCAAATATTGCAAATGTGCGGCAACGTTTTGAGCAAAATCTTTATTATTGCATGGAGAGTCATGGTGGCCATTTTCAACACTTACTTGCCTAACGGGTCAGTTCATTCTTCATTTTTAAATCACTTTGCTGCCAAATGTATTGATGTCCACTAATGATGATGTATTAGTTTTATTTAAGCCTCAAATCAATAAATCTTCAAAACTACTGACCTGAAGTACATTAATTTTATATCATTGTACAGGGTATTGAAAGACCTTTAAAATAAGATATCATTCGACCCCCATTTCCATTTAAGATTTTAGGGTTGGTGTCACCCCCGCCCAGGGGGCTGCACATGTTAACGTGATTTTTTGCCAAACTTGTGTCCCCCGACGGGTCTGAACGTTTTTCAAAAAAAAAACTGAGCTGCCAGTAAATGAAGCTTGTTCGTATTTTTCTCTACTCCAAGAGTTGTATACGTCAGCGCCAGCGTCAACTCAGCGTTGGAAATTCCTCCAAGCCAATTTCACCGTCAAAAATGTATCGACGACTCGTTGGTCAACTCGTGCAGACGCATGTAAAAGTTTACACGAATCGTGGAATGAAATCCATAAAGCGTTAGTCTCCATCGAAAATGACACACAACAGAATAGGGCCATTTTATGCGAAGTAAGAGGTATTCGTCTGAAACTTTAACGTTTTGAAACGGCCAGCATGACTCAGAAAACGACTTTATTACTAACTTGACGAAACTAAGCGCGTCTGAAGTCGAAGTTAAGGCCAAAGCATTGCAAATGGTTAATTCGACTGACTTAGAACGTCAGCCTTTCAAAAGAGTGTCTCCATTTTCGTTTTCTTGTTTGCAACGAGTTAAAAATTATTTACGCCCCACAATGACGGAACAAAGTCTGAACGATCTTGTTTTGCTCAACTTAGAAGCAGATTTTTTAGGAAAATTATATTGTGAAGACTTAATCATTTTGGGTCTAGACGAGTTTTGTAACATTGTGAAACACTTACTTTTTATGGTATGAGAATGAACCTGTAGTTAAACTAGTTGAATAAATAAACCCTAAAGTCCTTTCAATTGTTTTATCTAAATGTGTAATTATCCTTGAAACCTTTTGGCACCTATTACAAACTAGCAGCTATCATACTTAATTAAATTTCTGAATCAATTTGGATCAAAGTTGACAATTAAATGAATTATATAGTTCAAATCCGCACTGCGATGGGGTATTGTCAAATGAAAAGATAATAGCACATCAAATGGATACCTAATTCATAGACAGTATTAACGACATTGTAAGATCAAATAATGACTGAACCAAATTCTCATTACATCAGATTATAATCCATCATTCTGTGAGCTTAGTTCAATAAACGTTAATCATCTCGAGAAAATTGTATCAAAACTGAAATCAAATATATAAGCAATAGTTTGACAAATAGGCTGATTAATGAATGTTTTGATATTGGGGCAAAAATATTAATCCTGATATATAAATAACTGTTTAAAATATGGTGAATTTCCAACAAAATTGAAATGTTTTAACTCATGTGTCAAAAGTTCAATATTCTGAGTGGTACACCAAAATGCGGTCGATAAATGTTCTGCCAGATGTTGAAACATTTTTTGAAGAGATTATTTATCAACAGATCATCGAATTCGCGGGAAATCAAATTTCATGCTGGAATCAGGAAGTAAAACTTAACTAAAACAGTAATACAAATGGTTTTAGAGGACTGGAGGAGATGTATGGACAACTATTAACTTTGATAAATTACTTACAAAATTTCATCACTATGGAATTAAAGGATCTGTATTCAAAATTCTACAAAACTACTCAATTGACAGTGGTCAAAAACCAAAAGTGGATTTACATTATCAAGATCAAAAAATACTTCCTCTTGTTGTACAGCAAGGATGGTAAACTAGATCTACTACTATTTATTTTATACATTAATAGCAATTGTGTGTTTATTATAAAATTTATATATTTGAAGATGATCTAAAACAAAATGTATGCTAATAGGGAAATCCTTAAATGTAAATACTATCACAGTTAGGATTAATGATGAAATAATTGAAAAAGTTAAATCAGTTAAAGTTTTAGGTACCTATATATTATAATATATCACCATGAATATATACATTATTTTGAAAAATTGCGAAATAACAAACTTTTATAGGACTTCTCATACACATTCCAAAAATAAAATAAAGCTTATATACTTATATATATATAGGGTGGGCCAAGATTTCGTTAACATTTGAATCTAATACACCAGGCAAACAGATGCCGCGTGAAGTGCGGGGGGGGGGGGGGCTAGTCGCTAGCTCGTTTCTCGGAAATTCAGTCGCAATGGATCGCTTCACGGGGCCGCAACGCGCGTTCTGTGTGAAACAATTTTATTTAAACAACAGTTCGCTCATTACTGTGAGACGTTCATTTCGCGTTGAATACAATTTACACGACTTATGTCAGTGTCCGAGTGCTCCTTTGATAAAGAAATGGGCGAAGAAGTTCGAAGAGACGGGATCTACACTGAATGTGAAGCAAACCGGCGGCCCACGGAGTGCTCGCAGCGAAGAGAAGTACATCAAGTTTCCGCTTCTGTTCAACGTGATCCAGATTTATGGAAGCGCAAACGTTTGGCTGAATTAGGATTATCCCGCACATCATTACGCCGTATTTTGAAATTATATTTGAAATTACATCCATATAAGATCCAGATGGTGCAGGAACTAAAACCTAATGATTTAAATTTGCGCAAGTCGTACGCCGAAACGACGTTAGCTCGATTCAGTAATTTCGACAATCTCTTATTTTCTGACGAAGCTCATTTCCACCTCAACGGACATGTGCATAAACAGAATTGCAGGTACTGGCGCAGCGAAGATCCCAAAGCTAAACACGAGAAGCCACTTTACTCTCCTAAAGTAACTGTATGGGCTGCAATTTCAGCAAAAGGAATCATTGGCCCCTACTTCTTTGAAGATTCTCGCGGCCATTCAGTTACTGTTAATTCTGATGAGTATGTGAAAATGTTACGGGAGTTCTTGGCACCGATGCTACTGGAATTTGCTGGCTATAATCGTAACACATGGTTTCAACAAGATGGAGCCACCTGTCACACATCCAACGAGTCAATGCCGGTGGTTAAAGAAATGTTTCCAGAAAAGCTCATTTCCAGACGAGGCGACATCCCATGGCCACCCAGAAGTCCAGATCTATCCCCACCAGACTTTTTTTATGAGGTTCTTTAGAGAGTCGTGTCTACATCAATAAACCAAGTACACTCCGTCAACTAAAAGAAAGCATCAACGAAGAGATGTCGGCGATCTCGCAGTCTTTATACCGACGAGTATTCGAAAACTTCGGTACACGTTTAGAAGAGTGCAAAAATCGTAACGGTGGTCATTTAGATGATATAATTTTCAAGAAATGAATTCCAACTAATTAGCTTTCTTGTGAATAAACAATTTTTAAAATGTCAAATGTTTTTTTCATACGATTTTTTCAAATGTTAACTGATTCATGGCCCACCCTGTATAATAAAATTATTCTACTGCATTTACTATATTGTTCAAATATCTTGTGTTCACTGTCAATGAAGATGTATTCTCAAAACTAAAGTCCTACAAAAGTCTATGAGAACAATATAGAATAAAAATAAGAACACCAAACTAAAATCTATTACAAGAACTGCAGTGGTTAAATATATATTTGGTTCTTATTACATGGAATTGAATAATCCATTTACAAAATTTCAATAGTAATATAACTAACAAATCAATTTAATAAACTAATAATGATATAAAGTTTACTTAATTGAAAGATGTTTAAATGAATATTGAAGTAACAAGTAACATTCCATGGACAGTGAAAATTCTAGAGGTGCAGTAAGTTTTGGCTTTCTAAATATTTGTATGTCATATAATTGTTGTAGTTTTTTTAAAAGTGTGTAGTGTAATGTAACTATAATGCTAAATCAACCGAAAACAAATAAAAAAAATAGCAGAAGTATCTTGCTAAAAAGTAATCTCAAAAAACCTCAACATTCTTGTTGATTCTACAGTATGCTAGAAAAGCAAGTCAACTTTGTGATAGTAGAGGACTTAGCTCAGGGTTAATTTAGTCTCCAATGCCATGCTCATACATATTTTCTTTGTTAAAACATGAAAACACAGAAAAAGTATACTGCTGTGTTTATTAAAAAAAAAAACATAAAACTTGCAACATATAATATACACAATATAGTCAGTGGGGAAAAAACTAATCTCTAACATTTAGATCACTGCTCAGTTGAACCATTTGGCTCTTCATTCTGCTTTTGCCTTTTCTTTGCCCTTATATCAGCCATTGTTTGTTCAATTGACCTTATATCCTTTTTGTTTTCACTTGGGACTGAAAAAAAATGTATATTTTTGGTGACTGCAAAAATTTTTGTGATACAAGTTATATAAGGAATGCAAAACCAGGGACAAATGTATTTTAATAATTGGCAGAGCTACAATTTAGTCAATACATCTACCAGTAGAGTGTGGTATACATACAAAATTATGTAAAAGGATTTATTCAATTCCTCAAGATTCAGAGACACTACACTTTATTAATTCAAAGACAAAGTGCGATTCTTTTCTTGTAAGTATGAACATAAAAGAGGCATATTGTCTGGGAGTAGCATTAAAGCTAGTCTTAATACAGCAAAATTTTAGCTTTGGATCAAGTTACAAACATTGTCAGTCAGCCATAAGATTGAGAGCAACCTTAAAAAAAACAATATTTTGTTATATTTCAAGACCCTTTAAAAGTAAAGAAGTGAATTGGATCTAAATTGTCAATAACTTGAGTTTCTTACCAAAGCCATAGGTTTTATTGGTCTCTGTCTTCCTTGCTGCTTCTAATGCTGCATCTTGTCCAATAAGGTGAGCATATTTGTCCTTATAATTTGAATTCGGTACAAACTTCTTTTTCCTTTTAGTACCTTCTGACTCTTTCTGTTCCTGTTCTTCTAACTTCCTCTACAAAAAGAGTATGAACAATGTATGTTTAAATATCTTAAAAAATGTATTACTTTTTCTTTAAGCTGTCTTCTGATTTCTTCATTCCAAGGGTCACCTCTTCTCCGTGCTGCCAGTTCATCTTCACAAGGTGCATTTCCTTTTCTGTAAATTCTTATGTACCTATCTATACCATCAGTTCCAAAAGCATATGATAAAAATCCATGTGTCTCTGCCAATTCATGTCTAAAAATACAAAGGAGAGTTTGAGCAATGCTTTGTCTATTTTTACAAATATGCTGCTCGTTTGTTCAATTACAAAGACCAAGGTATACGCACACGATGCTTCTATACAAGTGATCCATAGGTTCAAACTTTAACATAACATTTTTCGGATCGCTGAAATATGTTATCAGTTTTATTTCCACCCTACTTTTGAAACGTTCCATTTTTTCCCTTTCTTCATTTTGTCTTTTTTCAATTTCCTCTTTTCTTTCTGAAAATTTGTTCTTAATCATTGGGAATGCTAAAATAGTGAACAGTACATACTTTTTATAATCTGCCTCTCCTTTTCTGATAATGTTGGAGGTTTGTCCATAGCGCTCATTATAGATCCTAGCAAATCCATTGTGCAGGGTGCAAAAAAAATTTTCTGCGTTGTAACTTTTAATGGCCTTATTTTTATTTTAATTTAGAAATCCAAAACAACACTAATAAAAACAAAACAACTGTCACAGATTTGACAACAGATGACAGGTAAGATGGTAGGTTCAGGAGGTGGCGACATCAACATCATAGGGCGCACAAAACACATAAGACTGAAGAAGTGGGAGCTGCACGTTAAACAACGGCAACACCGTTGACGTTTTGTCAGATGGTTGCGCCGCCTACTTGCCTGGAGATGTGGAGAAACTATCGAAGGAATTCAAAGAATGCGCCGGGAGATTATGAATGCTAGGCATGTGCCGAGGATTAAATTTGTTTACAATTTAAAATCTGCTGAAAGTGATATTTTCCATATTAAATAAATATTTTATGAGCATAGACGCATAAAATATCATCAATAAAGGAAATACCTGATTCAGCAGTTTTGCTGGTAACCAATTTTTTGATAATAAATGCGTAATTAATAAAATATTTACTAAAGAGTTAAATATATGAATAATAACAAGTAATAATTTATCATCACAGTACATTGACAATATATAAAGGTATTTTTAGACATCCGGAGCTTTCTCTATATTATTAAGTGAATAAGTGATGTTTCAAAAAAACAATACAAATCATACATTAGTAGCATAAAAAACGATAAAAAGGGACCCTCAGTAATCAAAGGAAATGTTTAGCAAGCACTACCTATAGTTAATCCATCATGAGGTATATTTATCACTGAAACGAAAACATTCATACTAAAACAACAAAAAATAAATCTCTGTAGTTAAATAACTAACTGAAATAAAATTATAATCTGAAAAAACATTATTTTTTATAGTGTGAAAATGAGGAAAATTTTCTTCAGAGAAGAAATCAAAGTTGAAAATAAACAAGACATTCCTCATACTTAAAACCAAGAGCTCCTGATGGCTTTAGCATTACAGGGAGTAACAAAATAAATAATTATTCTTCGTCCAACTGCTCCCTCCCAAGGATGCTGCAACTATGAAACAAAAAAAATATTGTTTAGGTATAATATCACAGAAGTATTTGGTTACTGAAAGTAAATAGAAAATTCAATGAATGAAGAGTGCTGGATGCTGGACTACATAAAAAAGCATTACCTGACTTTAGCTGTCTTGAGTTTCTTATTTGTTGATGACTATTGGTAGTCTCACCACTCCTTTTCAAAGAATTCTCTTTACATATTTGCAAATTCCCAACCGAGCAGCTTTTTTCCTTACCTTTTGCCACATAATGCTGCTGACAAAAGCTGTAATTTTGAAGGATGCAGGAATACTTCCGTTTAAATTTAACTCCAGTTGGTCTTCTGTACCATGCTGCTCTAAAAATGCATACAGCTTTTCATCCAGAAGATCAATGAGGTTAATTAAATCTTCACCTGAATACTTCAATCGTTTTTCCTCATCATGCTCTTTAAATGTCACAATCAGATGTTTTTCAGTGACAAACAAAGAAAATAATCTTGCACAGGATTCACAATTACTATCAATTTTGAGTCTGTCCAAAATGTACCCAGCTACATAACCAGTTGAAGGATTCCATTCGACAGAACCTGTCCATTATTTCCATGTCAGAGTCATTTAGAATCTCAGGGTCTAAATCAAGGCTGTATCATTACTTTGGTCATATTTATCCAAAGAGTCGCTGAAATCGACCAAAGGATCACAAAAATCGATTTCACAATTACCTTTAGAAAAAGGTGTGCTCAAATTATTAATAACTACTGTTTTTAAGGCAGCAACAACACTGACGACAGGTGGGATTTGTATTGAAGATACCATGCTGTCTTACTTGACAAAATCAATTTTCCAGGGAATCTTGATTTAAATTTCTCAAACAAAGATATTTCAAGCCCTTCTCCTCAAGATCTCTCCATAGTGACATAACAGATCTAATTGTTATTTGCCAGCCTTCAAGAAATTTGAAATACTTTGATTTGTCAACGCTTAGAACAATAAAAATTGATTTTAATTTGGATAGCCTTGAGCAAACATTCCGGTGGACTTTATACATAATTGATTCCTAAGGACTCAATTCCTTCTTTGATGTACCAGATTTTATTAATATGGCAGAGCCCTTCTCTAACAAAAAAGAATATCTAAATAATTAGATTCTGTTCTAGAACCTCTTCCACTGATTTCAATGTTTTGGTCTTCCAGAATAACACTGGAATTTTGCTCAGAAGGAGTTGGATTTGTGGTAGCCTCTCAAGAAGGAGGGTCTTTGAATAAAACTCTAGATACTGGAACCTGGTTTAGTAGGATGACTATTATTTGAATTTAAAACTGTATTGGGGGACACTGGTATGGTAAGCTATCTGAGACGTGAAGCATCTTGCGGATTATTACGATCAAACATTGAAAAATGATCCTCACAAACATAATAATTGGAAACTTTACGAGTGGGAGATATCTTACAAGCTGCCTTCCATGCAGCAACAGTTTTTTCATTTTTTGGAAAACGATGGAATACTTTATTTTTGTAAGTATATACAAGCAGATTTCCGAACAATGTGGAAACAGGAATATTTGCAAGAAGGATATGTGCATGAGTACTTGAAAGTAGCGATGTACGAAGACGCAACCCCAAATCCAGACATGACTGATTTACAAAAGAAAAACAAGCTTATTGAAGTATGCAATCTTAAGTATTCCTGCACACAATCACAAGCGTTTTACATTGAAAAATATATGACAAAGGTTATTAATACTATTATTATATTAAGATTATGAACGATAATTTCTAGATTGGGAATTAAATCAATAATTAAAAATTTAATATGTAGCTTACCCGAATCAAAACACAGATTGAATAAAAACAAAATGGAAGTTCCCAGGGAAAGTCAAACTGTCGTTTGTGTGAAAAATCAAACTCTGTTGGTAAGAAAGTGTCCTAGATTTTGCCTGGAGATTTATGTGTTTTGTGCCTGGAGAGAATGACCTTGGTGTTGCCAGTTCGCCCATAAGACGTTTCACCCGATAGGGCCTAAACTTGTCAGGATGTCGCCTCACAATGGTGGTGCCACCTCGTGGGGAATATACCGACTTAGAGGGAAAAAGGAACATTTTCTCTCAAAATCAGATATTTGTGGGAATTTTCAGTCGTTCAGGCAACACGTACAACTACTAAACGAGTTCACAACAAGTATCCATCAGCTAGTGCTAAGTTAAAATCTTGGAGAAAAACCTACGCTGTATCAAAAAAAAACGATCTATCGTTATTTTTCAAAATACGTAATACCCGTGTCGCACGGCTTTTATGTAAAAACCTTAAAAAACGTAAAAAAAACTGACGACATATCGTCTTGCAGACTAGTGCAAATAGTTGATCGCTGTTCGCTGACGTTTAATCAACAAAATGAGCTCACAACAAGTGTACAACAGCTTGTAATAAGTCAATATCTTATAGAAAAACCTACCAAATGTGCCGCACGGCTATTACGGATCTTCAAAAGTGATATTTCGCCAATTTTTTTGTGATTTTTTTTACAAGATTTCAACTTAGCACGTGTTGCTTAAACGTCAGCTAAAGATTGATAACTGAAGCATGAAGACGTTTTGGCAACACGTGCAACTACAAAACAAGTTCACAAATGTCGATCAGCTAGTACTAAGTTAACCTCTTGTAGAAGAATCTACGTTATGTCAAAAAACCGACCTTCATCATGAATCATAATGAAATACGTCACATTTCAGAACTTATGTCAGTTATATTACGGTTTTGTATTTTTTTATGAGCTACAAAAATCTCTAATCACCAATATTATTTTAATAATTTTGGCTATAACCGTTGATCAAATCGACCCCTGCAAGGAAGACTATTGTAACTCAGTTTTGGTTGAACTTAGATACTGGCATTAGAAGATTTTCTGATGAATTTCGTTGTCAGAAAAATGACTATCTCCTCAAAAATATGTTGCATATTGCAGTAATTCTTGTATATAGAAGGTTATAAATGGTGTTACAATACAAACCTAGCGGAAGTGACATTTTTTTAATAAACTTTGTTGCACTTGCTCTAGACTTGTTAGGATATTTATTGAAACATTACAGTATTTTTAAACAAATTAATGGTCGGAAAACCCTCTTTAATGCCAATCTGAGTCACTCAAATTATATTCATCTTCGTGTTCTCCACTATCATCGTTCTCAGCTACTGTATTTTCAGCACTGTTAATATTATGTCCTCTTTGTATTTTTCATCTTCCTTGGCTTTTAGAGAAAAATGAAAAGCAGGTAAGCCTCAGGAATGCTAGGAATACTGTTTGCTTTTGATTTACACAATAAACCATTTAATTTTCTAGCATCTACTGGAAGCAAGCTTGTGTACAACAAGGTAGTTCCTGAAGTGTATTGTTTTGCGGTCTCATTCTGTGATAATCAATGTTACTATCGTGAGATCATCAGCATAGTGACACTTATATTTAATTTCACAAGGCACTTATCTTATTTATTTTCAAATTTTCTCCACAATCGTCTTTGTTCCAATTTTCCGATTTTACCTTCTATTTAAAACTAAAGGATCCACTACCAACCGCAGACAGGGCTCTTTAGCTCTCATCAGTACGATATAGGTCTGTATCAAGTTCAGACTTGGAGATGAAAGAATGAAAAGCAAACACGTGAGTGTCGAGGAACGTAGTAGTTGAATTCTCTGTTAAACTTTTTTATTTCACAGGAATGAGAGAAACAGACTGCGATGCGACATATCTCAATGCATAACGTGCAGAGGATGCTATGTTTGAACCCTTTTATTGTGTTAGAAAAGTTCATCACTATTTATGAAAAAAACTTGCCTGAAATTAACGGTTTAGCAACTGCACTTAGCTTCTTTGCATCTGCCAGAATTATTTTGGTTCTTGAATTCATTTTAGTTCGCTTTGAAAACTGTTCTTTTCATACAACTAATACTTGAAACGTTTTCGCTATTAATTACCGTAATCTCAACCTATGCCGCGAAAATCATAGAAAGTCAGACAGTAGGTCTAACACTTAAGTTAGGCTTTCCGCGATTTTTTGCATCGAAGACTAAACTCAATTTGATGTGGTTCTCGCGGGAGCAACCACCACTATTATACTTACTACATGACGTGAAAGATTTACTGGTTGCCTATAGTTGCATGACTGAGATACCATATTCTTCCACCAAAAAGAACCCGATAAGGTCCATCGATACCATATAGTGAAAGTCAAAAGCAAGGATTTGTGAGTTACTATAGTCTCCGTTGCAGTGGTCGAAATGTGGATCAAATTAATGATGACGTCATTCTGGAAGGTTAAGTTTATTAAAAATCCTGAAAAAAATCCTTGTAATTACATATCAATGAATTATACAGGGTGTTCCATAATTATTGCGACAAAATGATAGGGGTTGTAGAGGGCATAAAAATATGCAATTTTGCCTTATAAACCCCTGTTCGTAAATATGCCGTTTCAGCACTACCGCTAATTTTACCTTAAGAGCTCATAGGAGAAACAAAAAATTCACCAGCTGTAAAATGTTCGTCTAGCACATTTCATGGTCTCGCCGGTTTGTAAAAAAAGCTTTCTGTGTTTTTATATTTTTGTTATCGTAAATTCTCCACACCGATTCATTTAATTTATCCGAGTGGTGCGTCAAACTAGATAGTAAATAACAGTACCTTAGTGTTAAAATGCAGCGTCATTCGTATGCGGAACTTGCGGATATGCATTTAATTTACGGAGAAGCTGGTGGTAACGGAAGACGAGCCTCGCGAATCTACGCCCAACGGTTTCCAGAACGTTCTCATCGGTATCACGCCATTTTTGCAAGGATTCATGGACGTCTTCGTGTCAGTGGCAGCATCAGACACCTCTCGGGAGCAGGGCGGCCCTTCACGAGGCGCACAGTAGAATTTGAGGAAGCGATTCTGCATCATGTAGAGGCCAATCCGCGTACAAGCGTGCGTGCTATTGCACATGATATGGGAGCGTCTCAAGATACTGTTTGGCGGGTTTTCCATGACCAGCAACTACACCCATACCACCTTTTAAAAGTCCAAGCCATGGGTCCAGAAGACTATCTGCCGCGTCGACGTTTTTGTCGTAGGTGGCTGCAGCAGGAGTTGAGGCAACCAAACTTTGGTCGCTACGTTTTGTTCACTGACGAGTCCTGTTTTACAAAGGACGGTTATTTTAATAGCCGTAACAGTCACATTTGGGATGAAGAAAACACTCATGCCATAGCCATCCATAGAGACCAACATCAGTTTTCAATTAACATCTGGTGCGGCACTGTGGACGAGCATATCATCGGGCCATATTTGCGTCCACCACGTTTGGATGGGCATGCTTATGGTCGATTCTTACAGCATGTGCTACCGGAACTATTAGAAAATGTGCCACTGAACATAAGAGCCAACATGTGGTTTCAACACGATGGCGCTCCAGCCCACTTTTCTTCAGAAGTGCGGCAGTATTTGGACGACAAATTTCCAAATAGGTGGATAGGGCGAGGTGGCCCTGTGCCTTGGCCTGCGCGGTTACCCGAGCAGACCCACTGGATTATTTTCTCTGGGGCCATCTGAAAGCTTTAGTGTACGAAACTCCTGTTCCCAACCAACAAGAGCTACTGGGAAGAGTGATGGCCGCGTACGCACATGTTCAGGACATACCGGGGGTATGCCACAGAGTTCGCCGATCATTGAACAATCGTGCACAGCTGTGTATTGAGCAAGGTGGAGGACACTTTGAGCAATTACTGTAGGTAAGCTGTTTCAAGAAACTGATCTTTTTTTTTGCTGCAGCCCAAACGGCATATTTCCGAACAGGGGTTTATAAGGCAAAATTGTTCATTTTGATGCCCTCTACAACCCCTATCATTTTGTCGCAATAATTATGGAACACCCTGTATAAAATTATGAATTCACATTTTGCGGATTCATGGGAAAATTTATGCAAAAAAAAGATTTTTTTCATGGATGTCCTGGGAAATTGTATGTTGAAAGGTTGGCAACGCTGCCTGTCAACGTAACACGTGCAACAAATTAGTTTGGCGTGGTTTAGACTTAAATTTGAATTGGGCAAAATAATTCCAAAATCCAGGAGGTATGTATCTACAGAGGAAAATTGATTTATTTCTACTAGTCCAACTTTGAGCAACACGCAACTTAATTCATATAATTTTTAGAGAAAAAATTGTATGCAATTGAAACATGTTTTTTTAGTAGTTTGCCCTTATAGCAGCAAGAAAATTGATTTCCTTGAAGACAGAAAGAAAGATATTACAGAGGAATATGAACAAACAGCATGTAAACCATGCAAATATTCTGCTTCCAACTTTAGTAGTAGTCATATAATCATATTAGCAAATTTCTCCAAAATAATTGTAGAGTCTGGTTTTATTGGTGCAAGTTGTTTAAGTGGGAATTTAAAACATGGACGCATAAAATGGATACACCAATTTTTGTGGGAGAACTTTTTATTCGACAACAAATGATGAGATGTTTAGGTATTTATGAGACCTACAAATTGAGACTACACGGAAAAAGATCCGACTAATAACAAAAATGTTATGGCCGGAAAACGAGGCAAAATGCAGGTTTTGGCACTTGGTAATGCGACGAAAATTTCACGCAGCTATTTGAAATTCTTCAAATCGGTAGGAATCATACTTCTAAATAACAACAACAAAATTGGATTATATTTCTGAAGTAGTTTTTTGAGAATTTCTAATTGTTTATCCCAAAACATGATATAAAATGCCCTTTAAACTAACCCTGTAGATATATTGCTCAATAAGCTATTAGTCATGGCCGGAAAACAGGTGTTTTGGGATAAACAATTAGAAATTCTCAAAAAATACTTGACCAATCTACTCCAATTTTGTTTTGGTCATTCAGAAGTACGAATCCTACAAGTTTGAAAAATTTTCAAATAACTACAAAAAAACATCGTCGCATTCCGAACAAGTGCCAAGACCTGCAGTTTGCCTGGGTTTTGGCCATAACTTTTTTGATATTAGTTGGATCTTTTTACGTGTGATCTCATTTTGGAGGTCTCATAAATAAATAAAAATCTTAATTGAAGAGTTT